ATTAGCTTTGCAATTTAAACAGGGATGCTGCCCAGCCTCCTGCCATAACCAGAGGGCTTTACAGCTGCTTGTATATCACCAAGTAGCCAGAGCTCAGTTCTCAAAGTTTTGGTCTGTTGAGGAGGCTCTGTGCTAAAGCCATCTGGAATTGGTACCAGGGCAGCCTGCAGCAGCACTGCCAGCAGAGCCAAGGCTTGTCTGCAGGCTGAAAAACTCAATTAGCAAATCCCTCACCACTTTCTAGCCCCTGCCCAGTGCTGTAAAGGCAGTTGCTGCCACGTGGGTGCCACAGGTCAGACAGAGGAAAGTATGACTACCAAAACCTGCTTGAGCAAGTCTGCTCCATGTCTGATGGATGGAATTTTAATGGGCTTCCTGAAGACAAATCCTACATGCAAACCTACATGGCATCATACACTGCCCCATTTGCTGACTGCACTCTGCCAGGTTGCCTGCATTTAGCCTCTCCTTTGGGGGAAGCAGGGGTGGTACACACCCAGGTGGACTGATATATGTTTATGGCCACTGGACCTTACATTTGCTAGGGAATATGTTCATGCAGTTAAGGCATACAGGAGCATTTCCGTTCTTTTGAACATTGCTCAAGTGTTTACAGACAAATGAATGCATTAGATTTTGTCTAATGTGGGACAATATCTAAGCTGTCTCAATCCGGCTGCTACTTCCAATTTAGGTCTTTTATTCTCCCCTGCAAAAATAGATTTAGTCCAGGCATAGTCTTTATATTTTACCAGACCCAGCATGCCAGTGTCCTGACCCTTAAATAAAACGTCTTTTTCACATTGCTACAAAAAAAAAATCAACGAATTGCTCAATAAAGCAAACTTGGCACCTCCTTGTAAAGCCTCTCATGGAGCTTCCAGTCCAAAACAGGGTAACAGGCCAGGGCTTCTGATCTGGATTTCTACAGAAATTTCTTCTGGATTTTACATTTCATGTATCACTAGATCCACATCATGCTCATATCCCATCCACCACCCATTTAACGTCTCATGTAATGTTATTATTCTCTATGGAAACAGTAGGATTCCTTCCACAATTGCTCCTGCTGAACATCAGGACATTTAGGCAGGCAGCTCCAGGTTTTTTGTCCCGTTCACTTAGCTCATTCTTTCCCACACAAGCAATGCTGTCATGAGATACCAGGTTGATAGGACAGAGGCAATTGAGGGCAGCACTCATGCTCATGAAAATATCCACTTGCTTTAGTAAACTGAAATAATCCCAAGCCCTCTCTGTATGTTCACCTTAACCCAGGCTACTCAACCAGGCATCACCTCTACAGGGCACCAGCACAACACCAGTTTAGGGTGCTGTTCACCTGAGGAGCCACAAGAACTCCCTGCAGCTCTTTCACCACTGTGGAACAACAGGACAATCCTGGTATTTGGTAACTTCCTTTTGTATATATGGAACAATGGATTTGTCCAACATCTGCTTGCACGAATATGGTCTATTCCTCATTTTCTCTCTTCATTTCTCAGATAAGAAATGTCACCCTTCTAGTCTTGCAGAAATCAGTACTGGGCTGGAACTGGTGGATCAGCATGTTCAAATTTGTTGAAAGTCATACTCTTCATTGACTCAGGGCAAGTGCACCTGTATGCTGAACCAAGGGATATTGACAATCCCTTATTCTTCCCTTTCCCACTAGGAACAAGGCAACACTTCCAAAAAGACTCGGTACCTTTATCTCTCTTGCTCTTGGTACTTGGGAACTTCTTTCTCATGTTCTCTCTGTGGAATAGTCAAAAAACTCTACTATGAAATGTGATGGTTTCATCCTCCCTTTCTCCTTCAGACACTGCCTCTGGCATAGAGGAGGAAGAAATGAGTGTTCAGAACTAGCTGTCCCCAAGGATAGCAAGAGTCTACAGGTACAAACATTTAGTTTGGGGTACAGCTTGTAGGCAAGATGCCTAAACTGAAATGTGTGTGTCTGTTTTTTTATGAGCTGAGTATCTAAGCCCCTGTGCAATCAATAACAATTTAGAAGCTCCATAAAATAGCTTACCCATAGGTAGCAATCACTGTCCTTTTGAGATTCTCTAGGATGCACTGTGTGGTCTCCATCTGCTGCTCCGTAAGGGCCTTAGTCTCCCATAGATCTAGAGTCAGATCTTCCAGGCCTGGATTTGCAAAATATCCTAGGACATCTCAGATGGCTCTAGATGTCAAAGTTTTGTTTGTGTTTTTTGTGTTGTTTTTTTTCCCCCACATTATGTCAACTCTTCTTTCAAAAGGCTAATCTTTCCATGACTTTGACTTTGCATAAAGAGGAATCCTGAATAAATTCTTGCTCAAGTATTTCTTTGCAGGCCTGCCATGTTTGGGGCACCTTTTCAAGGGCATTAAGTTATGAGGAAGGCAAGGTGTGTATTGGTTGTCTCAATTGAGATACAAATTTTCTGCCTCTGTTATAATTCTGATAATCATGTTGCTACTATTGGAACCAGCCCCCTTGGTTTCTGTGGCTACCATTCCTGACAACTGAATGAGGATAAGATGCTACAGAGAAGTTTTACTCTCATTTAGAAAATAGGGAGTTGCATGCTAGCCTGAGGGACATATACACCAATTACTTGGGTGGGAAGCTGCTAAATAACTTTTTATTTTCTACAGATCACAGACTGTGCCCAGCTACATATTGTTGGCTCCTGTGGTCAAGAGAAGATAGACACAAACCACAGATATTTTGGGAATACTCTAGATCAGTTTTATGTTTGTGGAGAGTTGTGACATATGAGCCACCATGAATAGCACTAAGGCTGTTGTGAACTCCCAGCCAGCTGGCTGCAAGGTAGCCGAGCCAGCTTTTCTTCCCAGCAGCCTGTGGAACATCCACACACCAGGCAGGACAGTGCATTAGCTCAACAAGCAGCAGAGCCAAGGTGATGGAACAAGAGACCAAGACACTTCTTTGCAACAAGCAGTATCACCTCTGTCACCTTTGCCTCGCTCTAATTTTTTTGCATTTAATCTATCGAGCTTTGCTTCTTTTTATTTTTACAAACTTGGGTATCCAGAGGTAAGAACTCTCCAAAGTTCTGCAAACTCCATGGGCTACTTCTCACAATATAGCACTTTGCTTATGTGTGTAATTCTCCATCTTTGTAAAATAGGATAATGGTACTTAAATATAATGTAGATGAGGATCTAGTTACCAAGTAGCTCATCTTTATGTATAAATCTAGAATCTTACTGAAATTATAACGATTGGAAAATTTCTGTTTCCTGGTGGGTTTTTTTGGTGTGCTGACCAAATGTTTACTGTAAGCATTTCTCAGTGTCAATAAGCAACAGATCCTGGCAAGGCAGAAAAAGCACACACAAAAACTTCTGCATTTTTTATACTTTAGTCTTACACTTCCTTGAACAATGACAGCTTCCATGGGTTCAGGAAAAAACACCAACATCTGACCATTTCTAAAGGAATGTGAATATTATTAGTGATTCTATACATGAAAACAGTGTCCTGGTGCCTTCCAGTTTGTACTCTGAGACTGGAAAAAGGGAATGGTCAAAGAGCAAACCTTTCTTCAAAGAGGTAAAGATGATCA